TAAGAAATAGAAATGGCCAGTATGTATGTGAAAATACAAGGCTGTCTTACTAGCACTCAAATGTTGCTTACTAGTAAGTTGTTGTTGTTAGGTGTCATTGAGTCGATTTTGCCTCATAGCAACACTGTGGGACAACAGAGTAGAACTACTAACCTAAAGGTTGGTGGTTTGAATTCGACTTGGTGGCTCTGCATAAGAAAGGCCTGACAAACTGCTTCTATAACGATGACAGCCAAGAAAACACTATGGAGCAGTTCTCATCTATGACATATGGGGTCGCCATGAGTCGAGGGCCAACTCAGTGGCAGCTAACAACAACAACAAAAGTATGTTTTAGAATTCCTTGGATCCTTATATCCTTACTCTAGTGGGTGACATATTGCAAATATTTAATAAAATTGTGGGGATGAATCGTTAGGAAAAAATTTCTGTGGTCTTTCATAGATTATCCAAAATGACAAAAATAGACAAAATATTTTGAGTCTTAAAAAAAAGTCAGAACTATGAACTAGATTTTGTATGAGGATTTACAAATATATCACATTTTGGGATATTTTGATGATTTCAGCTGAAAAGACTATCTTCCATCCTTAACTATCACAGTCTTAACCATTTATAAAACTATGACCATCTCTTACTGTATTTTAAAGCTACTTGTTTGGGTAGAGTGGCTGATTTTATCATTTCCTCTATAAAAAACCTCCTGCCGTCAAGTCGATTCTGACTCATAGTGACACTGTAGGACACAGTAGAGCTGCCCTATAGGGTTTCCAAGGCTGTAAATCTTTACGGAAGCAGACTGCCACATCTTTCTCTTGTGGAGTGGCTGGTGGGTTTGAGCTGCTGACCTTTAGGTTAGCAGCTAAGCACTTTAACCACTGTGTCACCAGGGCTCCTGACTATAAAGCTTATAGTTGAGGAAACCCTACAGGGCAGTTCTACTCTGTCGTTTAGGGTTGCTATGAATCAGAATCTACTCGATGGCACCCAACAACAATGTAGAGGCTTGTTTTGAATAAATGTATTCTGATTTTGTTTCACTGCGTATCTTTGATCTCAGTAAGTTATTTATCTAGGCCTTAGTGCTTACTTGTTTTGCTGCACTTTGTACAAGTTCCACTTGCGGGTAGTGTTTCATTGCACAATCAAATAATTCTTTCTTTACTTAAATATTGCATTTGCCAATTTGCTTTTGAACTCTCCTGTGCTTACTTAAAAAGGGTCATAAAAGACTGAGAGCTGCATATTTTAAAATCTTGATCTTTTTTCACTCGTTTCCTGCCATTTGAGTGATCACGTGGGAATGAGCAATTAATAGGAGTTCAGTCTTCTGAGAGTTTTATCTTTTTTTATCCCAAGGATAATGTAAACCTCTTTCCGTTGTTTATTTATTTTAGTTTTATTGTGTTTTAGGTGAAAGTTTACAGCACAAATTAGTTTCTCATTCAAAAATTTATACACAGATTGTTTGGTGACATTGGTTGCAATCCTCGCTCTGTGTCAGTACTCTCCCTCATTCCCTTTCCACCTTGGGTTCTCTGTTTCCATTTGTCTGCTTTTCCTGTCCCTTCCTGCCTTTGCATGTTCGCTTTTGCGTGTGTGTTGCCCATTTGGTCTCACATATTTGATTGAACTAAGAAACATTCCTCACGTGTGTTACTGTTTGTTTTATAGGCCTATCTAATCTTTGAAAAGTGGGCTTTTGGAGTGGCTTCAGTTCTGAGTTAGCAAGGTGTCCAGTGGCCATAGTCTTGGAGGTTCCTCCAGTCGCTGTCAGACCAGTAAGTCTGGTCTTTTTTTGTGAATTTGAATTTTGTTCTACATTTTTCTTCCGCTCTGTCTGGGACCCTTTGTTATGATCCCTGTCTTTACCTTATTTTATGTCTTAGCAGCGTTTATTTCTTTTTGCAGTAACTGATAAAACTATATTATTAGGAAAAAAAATATATCCTGGTCTGTTCTGAAAAACTAATTTTCTTAAAAAAAAAAAAGTAAAAACTGACTTGGCTTATTTAAGTGTTGCTAGGCATTGGCTTTTCCTCTGTGTCATGTCTACCTCATTCACAACCCAACCCTACTTGCAACCCCCACTCCAATCAAAAAAAGAGCGAGTCTTCAGAAGAAGAAGAAAAAAATCTTTTTTTTTCCCCCCCAAATGTGGCGATCATCACTTTGGTAATATTAAAAGACTTTAAACTTGAGTATATAACACCATGCCATTTATTAACTATTGGTTTTTATTGTTATACTCCTCAAAATTAATTTATGCAATAATGCCACAAAAACTCAGTGTAAATTGTTCTTTTTCCCAAGTATTTTTCTTAAATTTTCTTTTTCTAAGTATTATTTGGCATTGATGTATAATATCTTCTCATTATTTTTGCATGTTAGTTTGTAAATTTTGTGTCAAGTTTTGTGTAAATTAACTTTGATTGTCACTTGTCCCTATTACGGGTGGTCCCCGACTTACAACGTGTTTCTGTTCTGACAACTCCGTTGTAAGTCGGTTCTGATGTAAGTTGAATACCTCAATTTTTTTTTTAGTTTTCATTATTATTGCTTTTTATTTATTTATATTTTTCTTTTTTGAGTATTTTATTGTGTTTTAGGTGAAAGTTTACATAGCAAATTAGATTCCCATTCAACAATTCATATACAAACTGTTCTGACACTGGTCACAATCCCCGTAATGTGTCAGCAGTCTCACCATTTCCACCTCGCCTGTTGCATTTCTATCTATCCAGTTTCCCTGCCTTTCCTTGCCTTCTCATCTTTGCTTTTGTGTAAATGTTGGCTGTTTGGTCTTGCATAGTTGATTGTTTAAAGGAGCACTTTCTTCATGGGTGTTATTGTTTATTTTATAGGCCAATGTATCATTTGGCTGAAAGGTGACCTCCAGAGTGGCTTCAGTTCTGAGTTTAAAGGGTAGTGCATATTACTAATGATGTTGTTGTTAGATGCCGTCAAGTTGGTTCCGATTCATAGTGAGCCTGTGTACAACAGAACAAAACACTGCGCAGTCCTGCACTATCCTCACAGTTGTTATATGTCTGAGCCCATTGTTGCAGCCACTGTGTCAGTCCATCTCATCGAGGTTCTTCCTCTTTTTCTCTCACCCTCTACTTTACCAAGCATGATGTCCTTCTCCAGGGACTGGTCCTTCCTGATAACATGTCCAGAGTAGGTGAGACAAAGTCTTGCCATCCTCGCTTCCAAGGTGCACTCTGGCTGTATTTCTTCCAAGGACAGACTGATTTGTTCTTCTGGCAGTCCATGGTATATTCAGTATTCTTAGCCAACACCGTAATTCAAAGTCATCAATTCTTCTTCCACCTTCCTTATTCGTTGTTCAGGTTTCGCATGCATATGCGGCGATTGAAAATATCATGGCTTGAGTCAGGAGCGTCTTAGTCCTCAAAGTGACATCTTTGCTTTTGAACAATTTAAAGAGGCCTTTTGCAGCAAATTTGTCCAATGCAATATGTCGTTTGATTTCCTGACTGCTACTTCCATGGGTGTTGATTGTGGATCCAAGTAAAATGAAGTCCTTGACAGTGTCAGTCTTTTCTCCATTTATCGTTGGCCCAGTTGTGAGGATTTTTAAAAATTTTTTTTATTGTACTTCAGGTGAAGGCTTACAGAACAAATAGTTTCTCATGAAACAGTAGTACAGATATTGTTTTATGACATTGGTTAACAACCCCACACCAGTTGTGAGGATTTTTGTCTTCTTTATGTTGAGGTGTAATCCATACTGAAGGTTATAGTCTTTAATCTTCATCGTTAAGTGCTTCAAGCCCTCTTCACTTTCAGCAAGCAAGATGATAAGATGTACCAAAAAAAAAAGACAGTCATAAGTGGGGTTTGTTGTAACTCGGTTATGTCATAAGTTGAGGACTCTGTTAGTTATGTTGACTTTTAATTTACATACTTTACCCTAAAATCTGTGCATGACTGTGGTCATCACATTCTTAACTTTTAATAGATTATAAACTTTTCGAGGGCAGCTGCCATTCTTATACATCTGTGTGTACCTCTGGTGATTTCCTTGCAAATCATAAGTCCTCATTTAATGTTTATTAACTGATCATTAGAGCCAAAATGATTTTCACCTAGAGAGACCTTATGTAACTGTATGATTACATATAGGGAGATATTGGGTGGTAAGTGTGGTCAGTTGTTGAACATATAAGGATGGAGCATGGTATAAATTAATGACTGAAAGTTCAATTCTGTATTCTATTTTTAATCTCAAGAAGTGTTTTTTCTTTCTTCCTAGACTATGACACATTTTGTTCTGTGAAAATTTACAAGTGTGCTTTTGTTTAATAGGTTAAAATCTTGCTGGTTCTTTATCACCATTACCATAAGCGGAGGGTTTCTTGACACACAAGAAAATTCATATTGTGTGTTTAATATTAAAGTGATTTTCAAGTTTTTTGTTTTTTGCTAAAAAGTGGTTGAATCATTTTTTTCTCTTTCCAAAAAAGAAAAAGTGTTGCAGAGTTAGAAATTTTATGACATGAACCTGTGTTTCTTAAGTATTTTTGCTTTTTCTCCTTAATCTTTATTCAAAAACAAAGGCATGTTTTGAAAGTACATTATCTTATAGTGTGTTTAGCAAGATGTGGGTAGGGGTAGGGTAGGAGGGAATTGGGCAAATGGCTAAAGAAATACATGAGTAAGTAGAATTTCAATTCCAACTCACGTTTTGAAGGTCTAGAAATTATGGTGTGATTAAGTAATAACTGACCAAATTTTTAAGTGTTTTTTTTAAAGTTGTTGTTTTTACATTGCAGTGAATGATTTAGGGGGAGACTTTAAAGGAGATGGTAAAAGCTCCTTAGCTGCTGATAAAGTTGTTGAAGAAATAAGAAGGAAAGATGGAAAAGCAGTGGCCAACTATGGTATAGTATTTTAAATAAACAGACTATTTCTTTTATTTTTCTTCAGCTAATGCTTTTGCGCACATTAATAAACACTGAACAAGTCTGTCAGCATTCCAGTGTAAATATAAGATTAGATTGTATCTAAGTTGACTAAAGCCATTTGGCTACACATTGTGAGAAATTCTTAATGTGAGAATTTTTTAAACTTTTAATAGAGTTTATTTCACATAATTCTAACCTTTTTCTATTGCTTATTTAGTTTTTTTAAGTTAATGAGCACAGGATATAATCAATAACATATAGTATATATGGATATGGGTATGTTTTTGTTCTCAGAAAACCTGTTTTAGTTAAAAAGATTTTGTACATTTTTACAGAATAATCTTGTATTCTCCTTTTTAAAATTGTTTTTTAGAAAAACTGAATAGAGTATAAGAAGTGAAATGTCCCCTTTCTATACCCAGCCTCCACATTACATTCCGTACAAGTAATCACTGTTATGTGTAACCTTCTAATCTTTTAAAAATATAACAGTCAGTATATTGTTATATATTGTTATTGCCTCATGTGTGTAGAGTAGAACTGCTCCATAGGGTTTCCAAGGCTGTGATCTTTCAGGAGCAGATCACCTGGCCTGTTTTCCGAGGCACGTCTGGGTGGGTTCAAACTGCCATCCTTTGGCTGGTAGTCGAGCGCTTAACCATTTGCACCATCCAGGGACTCCAGAGTCAGTATAGTTAGGCATTAAAATAAAGTCATGAGAAAAACAGCAAATACAACCTTTTCATTTGTTGTGCTGATCTTAATGTTATTTTTAAGGAAACTCGTCAAACAGATTTACTTTAAGAAGCTAGCGATTACTGACTTTTCTGCAAACAAAAATTGTTTTTATTGGCCAGGGATAAAATTAGATTGCCAGTGACTTCATTTTGAAATTTTAGGGGAAAGGAAATAGGATATGGTTTGTTTTGAGTGTTAGAGTAAATAAGATGACAGACATTTTAGTATTTTCTTTTCACGTTGGCCATCTAGAGAAATGTTTTCAATTTTCTTTTTAAACCCAGGTCCTGGGTTTAAAAAACCTATTTTGTAAAGATAAAAGTACCAGTTTCCCCATTCACCCCCAGAGTTCTGATATGCAACCTGTATCAGTCAGAGTTCAGTCAGGAAAACAGAAGCCCTTCTAGGTTTTCCAAGTGTGAAGGACTTTAATATAGGGATTTAGAGGTGTGTACAACTATTGGAAGGGCTGGGTGAGCCAAGGTCAGGGAAGCTGCCACAGATCATCTCCACCTGTAGCTGGTGGTTCTCATTGTCAAGAGCTCACCTGGATGTGCTGTCATTCTCACATCTGCCACCTGTCTGCTTACGGGATTGCCTGCATCCGCAGTCTTCTCATACTTATCCACCTTCTAGGTGAGTATCTTGTACTGGCCGACCTAACTCAGGACCATAAGGATTCCAGGGGAAGGAATAAATTTTCTGTCTCCTCCTCTGTGATTGCAGAGAATATAGAAAGAGTCAGTGGTGATGTTGAGTTGACAGCAGACCATTTGGCACACAATAGTAAGAGTGTGAGCCCTTTCCTCTGAGAATTGCTAATTAGCAGAAAATAACCAAGCCATAAGCTTTACTTTCTATAGTTAGTATTTCAAAAGCAGTAGGTTTGTTTTTCCATATGTAGTTATATAACATTGAACATACTTTTGCAATTTATACACACATCTCTCTACCTGGCCTCCCTCTCCCCAAATTCTGATTTGCATCCTTAGGGGAAGATATCTATGTGACTCTTTAAAACTAAGTATAAATTAAATGAGAGTAAGCATTCAGTTAGTCTGTTGCACTGGCTACATTTCAAGCCCTCAGCAGTCAGATGTGACTGGTGGCTACCGTATTAGATAGTACAGAAATACAACATTTCCATCGTTGTTGTTAGTTGCCGATGAGTTGATTCTGATTTGTGGCGACCCCATGTGTGCAGAATAGAACTGCTCCATAGGCTTTTCAAGGCTGTGACCTTTTGGAAGCAGATTGCCAGGCCTGTCTTCCAAGAGGCACCTCTGGGTGGGTTCATACCACCAACCTTTTGGCTTGTGGTCAAATGCGTAACCGTTTGTGCCACCAGGGGCTCCTTTCCATCATTACAGAAAGTTATAGTGGCAGTGCTGTTTTAGATAATATTTGCTAAAGATTTCTTATTCATCCTTCCCCCCTTCTTTTGTAAACAGTTGTCTTAGGGGCTAAATTTCTTCTGTTACATTAGACCATATGTATTTTGATTTTTTATGTGCCTGCAGTATAAATTTATTTTTTGGAGGAATTAGTTCTGTTGGGTGAATAGTGTCTGTCATGTGTTCTGATACACAGAACTTGGAAGTCATTTGTGAGAGAGATTACTGATGTTTTGTACTAATTTCCCTTTCCCCTCAGATTCAGTGGAAGCAGGAGAGAAGATTGTGAAGACAGCATTAGATGCTTTTGGAAGAATAGGTGATGTTTCTTTGAGTTTGTGGTCCTTGCACAGCAGCTTCTACCTTCCTAATAAAATATTGTTGATTTTATTTTTGTTTATTAAACAAATTGTTTTTTCTTGTTAATCAAATTTTTAGATTTGTTTTATAAATTAATTAATTTACAACCCTACATTATTCCACAAAGAGCTTGAGGTGACAGTTTTTATATTTTTTGAACATGGTTTTATACAATTTAAGTGCTTTAAAAAACTTGCGAGCATTCTCTCAGTGACCTTTTTATAATAATTCAGTTATAAAATAAAAAAAAAATCAGTAGTTTGGGAAAAGAGGACTCAGTGGGTCTTTTGGATAATTATAATGATTTGAATTAAAATGATTCAGTATTTTGCAAATTAAGATAAATTGTATATGATAAAAATCTTTGTTTTTGTTTTTTAAAGAAGTTTTTCAAATCTTTTTAGTTTATTCTTCTCTAGATAATTTTTCTGGTTTAGTCCCACACTTTTAATAAAAAATTATTGAATTAATAGAGGGAAACATTATTACAGATAAGTCTAATAAGTTTATAAACTGAAAAACATAAATTTTTAAAATTTGAATGCGCTTTTCCCCCTTTTTTGTCTAGCTTATGTATTTTTCTAATTTTGTTCGGTTGAACTCATATATAAGAGAGGTGTTCACATATCAGCTGACAGAGAGGTAGAGGGGGCTACAAGTATGTGAAGTCATAGGGTGAAAATAGCCACAAGATGGCGGTTAAACCTTAAAAGAAAATTCTTTTGTTTACATAGTGAGAATATGATAGAGTATCAATTTCTAACTCTAATGGTTTCCATTCTGGGCTTATATGACTTTTGAGTGGCAGGTTTTTGAACTTTTAAATTTCTGAGTGGATTTTGAGATTAAATGAGGGATTGCTTATGGTAACCACCTAAGAACCTAAGGGTTATACAGCAGCAAATTTTATAAATAAGTTATTAGAATTTCAGCAGAAGGTAGACGTGGAAAAAATTTAGATACATGGGTTTGAGAGGAAAGAGCTAATATAATGTGGCAGTTGTGGATCAGTTTTTTTGGCTATCATCATGAAATTTCATTTTGAGAGTACTCTTTACCTAGTATATGTACTTTCCCTTAAGAGAGCAATTTTGAAAGAAATGTGAGTTTTAAGCAAATGCAAGTTAACATGCTTGCTTTTTTATATTTATGACTTGGATCTTTTTATTGCAGATATCGTGGTCAACAATGCTGGGTGAGTATTTCTTTTTTCAGTTTTAGTAATGTGCATGGAAAGTTTTTTTTTTTTTTTTATAAAATGTATACTTCCCACCCTTTTCCTTACTCTATATAATATAAATTTTTTAGGATTCTGCGGGATCGTTCCTTTGCTAGGATAAGTGATGAAGACTGGGGTAAGTTGTTTTCATGTATGTCTTTGTAGAACACACCTATCCATATAACCTTCTTTAATATTTGATAAATCTATACATTTAAAGTGAAACGTGCTTCTACTTACTTTTGCTGCTGTTGATATAAGTGATGAACAAGCTTTATTACTGAAAACAATGAATAGTTGGAAGTAGCCTTTTTTTTATTTTAAACATTTAATAACTAAAAAATGTTAAATCATTCAGCAGAAGTTATCTAAAAGGATTTTGTCCCTTTCAATTTTTTTTTCCCTTTGTCTCCTTAAGAGGTTTTCAGTGTTTTCTAGCATTATTAACTCTTTCTAGTAGCCTTTAGAAGAAGCCCTGGTGTCCCAGTGGTTACGCACTTGGCTGCTAACCAGAAGGTCCAGCAGTTCAAACCCACCAATGGCTGAGTGGAGAAAAGACCTGGCGATCTGTTCCCGTAAAGATTGCAGCCTAGGAAACCCTATGGGACAGTTCTACTCTATCCTGTATGGTTGCTGTGCATCAGAATCCACTAGACAACATACAGCAATAACTACAGAGTCTTTAGCATGCTTATCTAGGTGAGATTCTTTTTTCCAGAACAGGTACAGTATATGAAAGGGAGCTGGGTGCTAAAAATGATAGAGATCTGCGAACAGGGTGGAACAAAATCCGGATGTCATTTTGAAGCATTTAACAGACAGGAGAGATTTCCATTAGGGATGCCAGATAGGAAAGGTTGAGTTTAGATAATGAACAAATCACAGGAAAAAAAAAGTGTATTTGTTTTTTTTTTGCTTTTTGTTCTTTGCCCTCACTTTCATTGGCCCACAGAACTAAAACCAACAATGGAGCTGAGAACAGCGGCAGCCATGACAACTGAAGTGAATGTATCATCACTTACGAAGTGTGCTTCTGGGGAATATGCCAGAAGTTCTTTTGGAAGAAGCAAAATTAAGCACAAAAAGAGCTTTTAGCGTCCTCTTCCCTTATAACATACTAGGGTGAAAGAGAAGCCCAGACAGATTGGATTTATTGGCAAAGGCGAGCTTATGCTGGTGCTTTCCTTGGCGTTCTTGTGGAGCGATGGTGTTTTCTCTTCTCTGGTTCCATCCTCAGTGCACTACTCCCGACTACTCTTTCCTTTTTTTTCCCTCTTACCTTCTTCTAATATACACATGAAAACGTTTGTTGAAGCTCCAGAATAAAACAAAAATAAGGATGGTTAAAAGCCTTGATGATTAAAACAATAAAATTAAATCTAGAGTTGTTTGTCTGTCTGAGCTATTCCCTAAATTGCCTATTAATTAGATTTAAATCTCTCAGAACAAATAGGCTTCTCTTTCTCTCAACTCGTTTGCAAACCCCGGTAAAAATGGATACAGTGAGTATTTTGTAAATATTTCTTGATGATGAACTGTGTGATTTATGATTACATTTTACCTGATGTTAGTGTTGTGTGCCAATTATGTATGTAAAATTCTTGGAAATTCATACCAGTGAATTTATATAAAAAGAAGGCATAAATTAAAGGTAGCATTGTATTTAGATATGTACAGGGATTACAATTATTGCTCCATGGCAATTGGTTTGGTTTTGATATCATAAATTATAGGGAACACTGTTCTAAATTTCGGCATGAACCATTGATTGCTAGCATGATTGGAACCAAATAAAAAAATGGTTGCAAGCATTCTCAGAGAGGAATGTGGTAATAGGTGATTTTAAATGCTTGTTATAAAATGAACATCTTTGTGTAAGTAAACCTTTGCTTATGTTGAGTCTAAGACTTTCCTATCTGATTTTTGAGAAAGTATATAATAAAAATAATTTCTTGTTGTTTTAGATCTAATCCATAGAGTTCATTTGCGGGGCTCGTTCCAAGTGACCCGGGCAGCATGGGATCACATGAAGAAACAGAATTATGGAAGGTGGAGTTAAATATGGCTGGGAATGGAAATGTTGTGTGTGTGGGCTTTTGTGTACAAGGAAAGATATTATTGTAAAAAGTGCTATGAAGCGAAGATATGAAATATCTTCAATATGTGTAGTCTTTTTAAATGTGGTCTTGGCATATGGCCTCTAGTAAATTGGTGTCATTCAATTACAGTTTAGCTGGACAGTTTACTATTTCTCTTGCCTTCTACTTTTCATTATTAATGATCATCTTGCTTCTGTATGGCATTTAAAAAAGCAATTCAAACATTGAGGATTCAGCTGTGTGTACTTCGTTCTCTAACCAAAATGTCATTTTGTGTCTTTAGTGACCAACTAGGGAGAGATGAGTGATTATTTCTTGCCAGCTTGTACGGGTCAGGCTTCAGTTAGTCTTTATAAACTGTTTGGGAACTGTAGGACTTGTCATGATTACTTCTACATGAGTGACTCAGGTGTAGTGGTGCTAGTAAGTGACTCCCTGCAGTCTAATATCAGGGTCATTCTTATTAATGCATCTAAAAACAAACAATCAAACTTGTTGCCGTGAGTTGGAATCAACTCGATTGCAACCCTGCATGTTTCAGAGTAGAACTGCCCTCCGTAGGGTTTTCAATGGCTGTAAACACATGGGATCACCATGAATCAGAATCAACTCAGTGGCAACTGGTTTGGTTTTTGGTTTTAATTTTATGAAGTAGGTCACCAGGCCTTTCTTTCAGGGTGCTCTGGGTGGATTCCAATTGCCAGCCTTTCACTTAGTAGCCAAGAGTAAACTGTTTGCACCACCCAGGGACTCACGCACGTCTACTGGAAGTAAATAATTTGTATTACCTGTCCTTATTTGGAAATTTATAGCTTATCCTGATACTGACTATTTTTGTAAGTTAATGATACGATTTATTTTACTTGGTTAAAGTAGAGTGGCTGAGGTTGGGTCAGATTGTCAGATGGCATTGTTTTAATAAGAGACATTTAATACTTATTCAGAAAGGGAGAGGGGCAAAGTGATGAGGACTGAAATTTGAACTGCTTCATCTGATCTTTCTTGCCAAAATTTTAACTTATGTATTGCTAGCTTGTTTTATTTTTATAAACATTTATTGTTGGTTTTAATAGATAATGAATATATATTCTTATACTTAAATTGATTTGATCCTGTCCAGAATTTTTTTTTTTAAACAGTTAAATTTTATAGTGAATTTTGAGAGACCACTTTTGTATTAATATTATTTTAGGTATATGAATCATAGCTGTAATATGCTAGTGACTATACACAGAGTTGCTTTTGACAGGTGTAAAAGTACCAAAAAATAAAAATAAAAGAAGAGAGAGAAAGTTTACAGTATGAAAACATAGAAAAGATGTTGAGACTGATTTTTCTTTTAGGATCATTATGACTTCATCAGCTTCAGGAATATATGGCAACTTCGGCCAGGCAAATTATGGTGCTGCAAAGCTGGGTCTTCTGGGCCTGTCAAATACTCTTGCTGTTGAAGGCAGGAAAAACAACATTCACTGTAACACTATTGCCCCTACTGCAGGATCACGGATGACTAAGACTATTTTGCCGGAAGGTAAGTAGCTTGATTTTTCAATGCTGTTACCTGCCGATCTGTTGGGCGTGAGCTTTGTAAAAATATTTCATTTTCTGAATACTTAAAGCAATTATTTTTCTTTATAGTTTCAAAAGCATCATATGTATATGTGTTCATTGTGGAAAATATAGAAAGGCACAAAGTAAAAATAAAAATACCCCTAATTTTACCTCACTGAAGTCAACTTTCATTCTTTTTTCTCTGTATAGATAGACATACATACATATTTTTTACAGATGGGATAATAGCATTTTAGTTACCCAGTGCTGCCATACCAAAAATTACCACAAGTGCTGCGTGTCTTTAAAGAACAGGAATTTATTTTCTCACAGTCTAGGGGGCTCGAAGTCCAAATTCAGGGCGTAGCTCTAGGGGGAGGTCCTTCTTTGCCTGTTTTAGCTTTTAGTAGCCAATAGTTCTTCGAGTTCCTGGGCTTGTAGATGTGTCTGCCTTATGTGCCTGTGTTCACGTGGTGTCTTTCTACTGCGTATGTCTGTATCTATTCTGCTGTTTTTATAACTCAGAAGTGACTGGGTTTAGGACTCACCTTACTCTGATATAACTTCATTCATGTAATAAAAGAAAACCCCTGTTTCCAAGCAGGGTCATATTTATAAGTACAAGGGTTAGGATTTCAACACATATTTTTAGGGGGTACAATTCAGTCCATAATAGACTTCTTACTATTTTAT